ATTTACTCCCCCATTTCCATGATATCTTTCCTCACATGGAATATTAGAGGGTTAAACTAACCCTCTAAGCAATCATAAATCAAGAGACTAATTTCTGAAAAGAAACTTGAACTAGTCTCTATATTAGAAACCAAATTGTCTCCAATGAATGTAGCATCTATCCATAGATACATTGCTCCCAATTGGTCAATTGCACACAATTACAGTTTTTCTGATCTTGGAAGTATTTGGATTATTTGGAACACCAACCAAATTAATCTCACAATTCTGGATTCTAACAGACAAGTAATCCATTATCCAATCTCAATTATTGGACAAAACATAACCTTTTTTACCTCATTTATCTATGCTACTAATTGTGTTCTTGAAAGACAGCTCATGTGGAATAACATTACTTATCATGCTGGTTTATTCACTGCCTCTCCATGGCTTTTGATGGGAGATTTTAATGTAATTCCAAACATGGGGGAGAAGCATGGAGGATCAAAGAAATGGTGCCTTGCAATGTCAGAGTTCAAAGAGTGTCTTCAATCTGCTGAGTTGGAAGACCTTAAGTTTTATGGCATACTCTACTCATGGAGTAATAAGAGCTTAGGTGATGCTTGTATTGCAAAGAAACTTGATAGGGCTTTGGTTAATCCCTCCTAGACTTCTTCCTTTCCAATTTCAGAACGTAATTTTCTCCCCCCAGGTATATCAGACCACAGCCCTATTTTGGTAACCATGAACTTCAACATCCCGAAGAGATGCATTCCCTTTAAGTTCTTTAATGCTTGGACTACTGATCAACATTTCTCAGCATCTGTTAGAGAGGTCTGGAGCATCTACATCAATGGCACTGCAATTTACCAAGTGGTCCAAAAGCTCAAGAAATTAAAACACATCCTTAAAACCAACTGTAAAAAGGAATTTTCTGAGATTGATTCTAAGCTTCATGCTGTCAAGCTGGAATTAGATGCATGTCAAATTGATCTCGACACCTCACCAAATGACTCCACACTCAGACATTTGGAAAGAATTCTCACCTCTGAGTTCTTAAAGCTGGGGAAAATCCAAGAAGATGTGCTAAGGCAAAAATCCAGAATGTCATGGCTCAAATTGGGGGACTGTAACTCATCTTATTTCCACAAATCCTTCACCTCCAGGAACAACAGCAAAAAAAAAAAATTATCTCTCACTTTGGACTCAGGCCAAATCATCACAGATATAGATGAGATAAAACAGCAGGTTGTTCACCACTTCCAAAGCTTGTTTTATTGTTCCCCTCTGCCAACACACCACACCACTGAACTTCTTCCTTTCATCACAAAACATGTTCCTTCAAACCTACTTGGTTACCTTGATGAAATGCCATCCCAAACTGAGATTCAGAGCTGTATGTTCAACCTCAACAAGGATAAAGCACCCGGTCCAGATGGCTATAATGCATTTTTCTTCCAGAGTGCTTAGGGATAATTGGAAGGTCAGTCACAAGAGCAATCTCTGAGTTCTTCAGGAATGGCAAACTTCTTTCAGAGGCAAACAATACTTACATATCCTTGGTTCCCAAGTGCCAAAACCCTTCATCATTACATGATTACAGGCCTATTTCATGTGTAAACACCATATATAAGTGTATCCCCAAATTGATAGCAACCAGGCTGCAATCAACCCTAGCTCACATCATTGATCAATCTCAATCTGCATTCATCCATGGAAGAAGAATTATTGATCCAATTCTGTTGGCTCATGAGCTCCGCAGAGGCTACCACAAACACAGTAAACCACCAAGATGTGCAATTAAGGTCGATCTAAGAAAGGCATTTGATTCTGTCAAGTGGGATTCATCATCAGCTGCCTTACATTACACAAGGTTCCTTAGAAATTAATCTCACTCATCCAGGCATGCATATCTTCCCCCTCATTTACTATAGCTCTTAATAGTGAATTCCATGGTTTTTTCAAAGGGAAAAGGGGGTTAAGGCAGGGGGATCCCATCTCACCCTTCCTCTTTGTTATTGTTATGGATGCCCTCTCATCAATCATCAACAACTATGTGGATAGAGTGTCCTCATTTAAGTTTCATTGGAGATGTAGAGAAGATAAAATCACTCACCTCTCTTATGCAGATGACCTATTATTGCTTTGCCATGGAGATATTGCCTCAGTCTCAGTTCTAAAATCAGCCTTAGATCTCTTTTACTCAACGTCTGGTCTTGAGATTAATCTCTGCAAGAGCTCAATTTACTTTTCTGGTATTGATGGTCAAACACAAGAAGCAATCACTAATTTGCTTGGAATTGAGGTTGGTGCTCTCCCAGTGAGGTACCTTGGGGTACCAATGATCACAACCAGATTGAAAGCCCAGGATTACAGTTTATTGATTAGCAAGATTACCCATCGAATCTCTCATTGGTCTTCTAGAGCACTGTCCTATGCAGGCAGATTACAATTGATAAAGGCAGTGCTTGTTTCTACTCAGATATATTGTTGCAACATCTTCATTCTCCCAAAAGCAGTGTTTGATGAACTCAACAAAATCTTCAGGAACTTCCTTTGGTCAGGACCAGAAATGAGCTCCTCAAAGGCTAAAGTAGCTTGAAGTAGGGTGTGCAGTCCAAAAATGGCAGGTGGATTGGGGATCCTAAACTTGGAGATTTCTAATAAAGCTGGCATCTTGAGGTATATTTGGGACTTGTAAACTGATAATACAAGCAGTCTCTGGTTTAGATGGTGTCTTTTTCACCTTATCAAAGGGAGGAACCTTTGGACTCTTAAGTTACCACAACCATGTTCTTGGAGTTAGAGGAAAATTCTCTAACTTAGGCACCTAGCCAGAATGCTCATCAAGCATAGGATTGGCAATGGATCCCAAACTTCATTCTGGTGGGACAATTGGACAACAATAGGGCCTCTCAGCTTTAGATTTCCACACACTCTTCTAACTAAGGCTGGGTTTAATGATGGAACCACTGTCAATTCCTTCATTGTTGATAATACCTGGTCTTTCCCACTTTCTTTAACCTCTGCCATACTTGAATTGCTCTCCTTACCACCACCATGCCCCTCTAGAAGTGACTCAAAGTAGTGGATTGCATCTCCAAATGGGCAGTATTCTTTCAAGCATACACTGCAACACCTTGTAGGGGATCTCTCATCAGTACAGTGGCACAATCTGGTGTAGGATTCTCCAATCATACCAAGAATGAAATTTAACCTTTGGATGGCGGTTCAATCAAGGTTACCTACCTTGGACAGCAAAGCTATGGCCAGACATCAAAACATCTGTGCTTTTTGCAACAATTCAACCGAATCTCATGACCATTTGTTTATCAACTGCTCCTTCATCTCACCAATTTAGAGGTTCATCACTTACAAATGTCAATTGGTCATCCCAATGACAAATTGGGAAGTGCTTGTTCTACAGATCAATAACAATTGGAAGTCAAACACCCCTTCAAACATGCTTTAGAAAATTGGCTATCTCCTCAGTTGTGTATCATACCTGGGAAGAGAGAAATGCTAGGATCTACAGAGGAGAAAAGTCATCTCAATGAGTCGTCTGCTCCAAAATCTGTTCCACCATCTCTGCCATTCTCAAATTAAGGGTTCTTAGAAATTACTCAACAACTTCAAAGATCCTCAAGGACTGGAATCTCTCCCCATCATGTTGTCGTCCTCCCCTATGGCCGCCTCCAAGACCGCCAGATTAGCTTCCTTTGCACAGATTGTGCATTTCCAACACTATTACCGGAATGCTCTCTAACAACCATTAACGGTTCGGTACTGTGACTGGTTGTTAGCTTGTTCTCTCAATTGGATTTTGGTTTGGGTTAGTCCCTTGTTGTATTACCTTTGGGCCTGTTGTCTCTCACTTGTTATGGCCTAAGGCTCACTATTATAAATATTAATTTTAATTTATGACAGTAGCTTAAAATTTGGAAAAAAAAAAAAAAAATCCATTATCGGGTGAAATTTTTAAAAAGATTTACGTCGACATTGTCAACTACCACATACGAAACAATTTTTGTAAAATCCTTTTTAAAAAGTATACTCCGTATGACATTTGTGGGTTATGGTGCATTCAATAGTAGCAATAGATCATTTTGTCGTTTGCAAGTTGGTAGTAAAAATTTCTGCCATCCTTTCCCATCACCAATGTACATAAAAAGTCGGCCCCCCCCTCCCCCCCCCGGCTTCTCTCTCTCTCTCTCTGTGCACATACATACAAATATATATATATATATATATATATATATATGTTTGTTTTTATTGAGATTTGAAGTTTACAAATTACACACGTTATCGAATTAATAGGCGAAGGTTACATGTGTATCAGAAAAATACTGAAAATATATAATTAGTTTCTATTATAAGCATAGAATTAAATTGCACCTAATTAATTTATTAGTTCTAATTTAACTTCTTCGTTTTTTTTTATACTACAAATACACGTGTTAAGAGAAGCATCACATAGTTGGTATATACAGTGAAGCAAACTACACGTGTCTTACTTTCATTAGTTTCTCACTCTTCCTGTCACCAACTCTGCCTGTCTCGTCAATACACCTTACAAACCTCCATTATCTTTACAATTGCTGTCCATTCATTCTCAACCAGTTTCTCAAACTCGTTCATATGTTCAATGAATCTTCCAGCATTCAGTCTCTTATATAGATCCTTGTTTCTTACTCTCTCCTTTTCTGGGTGAAATTGGTTTTTTACAGATGAAAACCCCATCCCGGCAAGACCATAACCCTAGAGGTTGAGAGCTCTTACACGTACAATCGATAATGTGAAGGCGAAGATCCAGGACAAAGGAAAGGATTCCACCAGAGACCAGCAGCGGCTGATCTTCGCCGGAAAACAGCTGGAGGACGTATGGCCGAACCCTCGCCTTGTTCTGCCGTCTGCGTGGTGGTTTCTAAAGACTTATGTATGATTTTTTTGTTTTATATATGGTGAACATGTTTCTGTTGTGGTACTCTGGTTTGAAGATTGAACTTAGAAAACAAAAAACAAACAATCAAACTTACTTTTTGCATTCATAAAATACAAGTACACAACTCTGATACTTTATTAAACAACTACTATATATATTGCTATTAGCTAGAAATTACCCTTAAATATAAATACATCACTATCCTAAAATTACATATATTACAATATTCTCAAACTACACATGTAAACCCCTCTTTACAAATCATAGCACATCCATGAGACATTTCATGAACTAAAACAACTAGTACTCCATTCCTTATCTATTTCATATAAGCTAACTCTCAGTCGACACAAGGAACCTAGGAAGCCCAATTTTTTTACCCAAATTTTGGACGTCCTTGGAGACCTGCTTTCGGAATTCTCCAAAGCTAAATGTTCTGTATATAGAAGGCTCAATGCAGCTCTGGATCTTGGTCTCATCGAATGGACATACGAAGTACGCCGTAGAGAACCTCTGCACTTGGTTGTTGGTTACCACCCTATGCTCAACACTCTTGTAAACTCCGTTGCTCCATGCCTGCATAGCAAAGATTGAGTGACAAATGCAAGTTAAAACACTGAATATATATATATATATATATATATATATATATATATATATATATATACTGCTGTTTATTGAGGAATTAATGAGTTTTAAAAAGAAATGTAACACTCGTTATTGTACTTGAAATAGGTCACCAATGTTGATGACCAGAGTCTCTTGATTCGGTTTCACTGCCATCCATTTCCCATCTTTATACAACTGCAATCCTCCGATTTGATCTTGATGGAGAATTGTTAGGAAGTCACTGTCTGTGTGCTTGACCAGGCCGAACATCTCCGGTGCCACGGGGCATGGCGGATACCTGTTCATCCGAATGTAACATGTGCTCGGCAAACAGTTTTTTTCGAAGAATGTCGTGTTTTGTCCCATGTTCTCGGCCAAAATTTCGACAAACTTGCGTGCGAGTTCAGATACTGTTGTGGCAAATTGTACCATCGTTGAGCTGAATAAGTGCAAGGAAAAAATAAATTCAGAACAAAAGTAATTGTGGCTTAGATATATTAATAAAACAATCCCATGCAGTTATATTCTCCTATTTATTTAGATATATTAAATACCAAATATATGTGAACACTTAACCCCACTTCTCTGTTTAGATAATGCAGCATCTTTTTACTGTTCTATCATTACTTGGTTCATAGGAAAGATCCTATGCTTAAATTGACATGTGTTGTACTTTACGATGTTAATCACTCGTTTATTGTACTTTTATTATGGTAATCAGTCATTTCATTTTGTGTATCAGAATTATCCTTCTGGTTTATTGGTGTTGAATCATTAGATTCAAGTGGTTTACTGGGGTTGAATCATTAGATCCAAGTCCTTTGTTACAATTTTAATCTAATCTACCAAAATGCCGAAAACATCAAAATCAACAAGTTTTTATCGGAATTACTTTTTGACACATGATTTATTCATATGAAATTACAACAAATTATATTCCTTTTTGATTCATTTTATATTGGAAGTAAAATAAATAAATAAATAAAATAAGATTTCAAAGGTAGAACCATCCCTTATTGTACTTCGATCTATTTCTTGTATCTCAAATCTTTTCCATCAACAAAGAAAGAAAATTATCTTTCCAAGAAATTGAATATTGAATGGGCACATAGACAAGCATATAGAAATATATAAGAGAAGGCCTAAAATGCCCTAATTAGTAAATCGTACATATATTAATATTTATTTAGCACAAATAAAAATAAAAGCAAATTAGGTAAAACTAAAAGTGGCCTTAATCAGATGAACATATAATTCCAGTAAAAATATGTTCTAATAAAGTTCTTTTTTTAATAATTTTAATTTCTAGTAAAATATGCCAACTAATTGGAATTGGACAAAATTTAATTGAGTTAAAACTTTAAGTTAAACTAATTTTCCTTCTCCAAAGACAGTATTAGATTAACTATAAAAAAACATATATTGGTAAAAGACAGTATTAAAATACCTAAAACACATATATTGGTATCTTCTTATCATAATCTCATTCAACAGATAGAAAACAACACACATATATATATAGAAACACACATAAACACATAGAAGGGAGGGTTGCACATATACACATAAAAGAGGGAGCTTTGTAAGCAGATACCTGAGATTGGTGTGATCATCCAAATTCTGGAAACTGGTCATAGGGACATGGAAGGCCTCAATCCATGACAGCTGACTGGGATATTTAGCCGTTTTTGTTCCCCAACGGTAACTACCGGACTTGAAAGGCAAACCTTCTTCCTTTTCTTTCACTTCAAATGGCTTCTCGAAAACCCTAACCTGCTCGCTTCTCATTCTGTCCAGAATCTCCCCGGGTATACCGTGGTTCACTACCTGAAAGAAACCCCACTCTTCCGATGCCTTCACTATCTCTCTCTTGCACTCTTCCACATCAAACTCCCCACCATTCAATCTACTCACATCGATGATGGGAAGTTCACAATATTCGTCTACCAACACAAAGTCCTCCGGCAGCATCTCCTCCTCCGGTGCCATCACTCCGTTGGAGTTCCGGACGAGGTTCTCGTAGAACCCCATCAAGGGTGGCTCTGGCGAACCCATACATATAGACTGAAAAAATTAACAAGAGAAATATTAGACACACATATATACACACATAAAGACTGAAAAAATTAACAAGAGAAATATTAGACACACGCACACACATATATATGTATACATACATATAGACTGAAATAATTAAGAAGAGAAATATTAGACAGACATCCACATATACATATATATATATATACACACACACACACACACACATATTGAAAATTTTAATAAACTGCATGGTCCAAGTTAAATTAATAAGTAGCTAGTATTAGTAAATTAAGGAGCGAGAAACTTACAGTGTATACTTTAAAGACTATGAAGCAAAAGAACAAAAAGCTGAAAGTGATTAGTGGGTATTTGGACATATAATTAATAACAAGAAAAAGAAGAAAAAGGATAAATTGATTCTTGTTCATGTTTTTTTGGGTGGTGGATGAAACTTTTTTTCTATCCGAAGAGGGAAAGTGAAAGTTGGGCTTTAGGCTATAAATGGAGGGAGAAGGAGACTGTGAGAGAAAAGAGATTGGGCTTTAGGGGGTTGAGGGGCATGCGGTATAAATAGGTCCATTTAGAGAGAGATACACAGCGAAGGAACTTGCTTTGAGTGGACCGTCTGGGTGGTCAAATCACAAAATAGATAAAATAAATAAATAAATAATTATATATAAAAAATTATAAAATAGATAATTGATAAGAATGACAAAATCATTTTTTTTTTTTTTTTTCGATACTGGAGTACATTGAATTTTTATACTCCTAAAAGCTGTTAACCTAGATGTTGCATCAAAATTTAATTACACAAAAAATTACGATATAATGTTTAAATTTGTTAATTTGTTAATAATTTAGGAATATTTTATACTATCTAATAACCTTTGTAATAAGGGTGTCCCACCGCCCACCTAACCAATACATGAAGCGGTGGTGGTATTGATTTTTAGGGTAACCCCCAACTCTTTCCCTCCATAAAAAGACGCAAGGAACAGCTAATTATAGAGGTTTTGTTTGTACATGACATAGTAAATATTTTTTTTTTTTTTTTTTTTTTGAATGACATAGTAAAATCTTATCTATGGTTAGGCCTATCTTTTTCATATGTTAAAATTACCAAAATGTCCTCAATTACATTATTTAAATAGATAAAAGTCATACGTTAAAATTACCAAAATGTCCTTAATTACATTATTTAAATAAATGAAAGTGAAATGAGATGAGAAAGACCGTCTCTAGATATTACAAAATCAGAATTGAGTATCACAAAATTGTAAGAGTGATAGAATTTGTCGAAAATTAAGAGTACTAATTAGACGAATATTGAATAAGACAGAATACAAATAAATATCAAAAAAATTAAGAGACTAAGAAATCGTCCCATTTAGTACGCTCAAAAATTAAAAAGGGTTTAGATGTCATTCAAGAAAACAACTCTATAATATAGATTATGCATGTACCATTAAAACATGAGATTGGGTGGCATCACATTAGCTGAGTTGTCACTAAGTGAAAATGCCTCTGAACTTGTAGTGACTTTTATCATGGATAACTCTGTTCTAATTTAAAGATCTTGATAAAGTTCTTGAGATAACAAAAATGCACATAGATATTACAATATTAAAGTTGAGGATGAGACCTGGACAGGCTTGGATGGGGTTGCCCCCATTGTTACTACTATCACACAAACACACAGATAAATTTGTAAACAAATATCACAAAATTATGAGAGTGATAGAACTCATTTGAAAATTAAGAACACAAATTTTAATATAATATTAGATTGATGTTATGTTTCGTAGTATTGAATTGACAGTTCAGATTTAGAATTAAAAAAATAATAAAGTAAAATAAAAGTAAAATTTGATTGAAACTTTGAACTAAATTCTCTTCAATTCTAAATTCAAATCACCGATTCAATTCTCCTAAACGCTGAATGAAATGGAACGTAGATAGATAGATACACATAATCACAAGAGCAATAGAAACCGTTGGATGCAATGCAATAGAGGATGCCAATAGAGCGTAGATAGATAGATACCGATAATCACGAGAGCAATAGAAACAGTTGGATGCAATGCAAGAGAGTATGTCATCTCAAAGGGTTTGGTGTCATTCAAAAAAAAAAAAAAAAAAACAACTCCATGTGATCTAGAAATATGTACAGAGATGGAGAGTCATCACATTAGATGAGTTGTCAGCAAGTTCAAATGCTTCTGAAATTGTAGTAACTTTTAGAATGGATAAATCTGGAATATTGTCAGGTCTCTCTGTTTCCATTGGAAGCTGGATTTTCATTGCTGTCCAGCTTCTTCCTTTGATACTTGGAATAAATTGGTTAAAAGTAATTGCATAGGTATGACAACCAGCTCACATGAACAACACAGAGTAAAAGCTTCTGGTAGAAAAAGACATTAGGGCTAACAGATCATGCAGTGTATCAATTAGTTGGGTATACTTGTTAAAACTACTAATTCTTGGAATTTGTTTGGCTCAGTTTGAAAAATTAATTTATAAAATTAAAAAATTTGTCAATCAAATAAATTACCAAACTTTTTTTGTTTTGTTTTTGACATACCGAATCAAGTATATCCTTACAATTTTGAAATTCTTTTTTTTTCTTTCACTTACTTTAACTTAACTAGCTTTGCTTTAGCAACATCTTGAACATTTAAGTTACCTATAAACTGAGAAGTTACTTTTCTAGATAAAATTATAATGTTTTCATCATTCTCAAAAAAAAAAAATATATAATACATAATTAAAATAGAATATATCTGACATTATGTAACGATGTAATAAACTTGAGGTTAAGTTTTACTGTTTAATTTATTTAAGTTGATGTTTTATTAGTGACACGTATAAATTATGTGGACGGTCGTGATCACTCGAGTTTGATGTGATCAAGGCCATCGGTAGCAATACTGTAGAGGATCCCAGCCATATTTTTGTGGTCCAAAATGCATCACACGTACATTTGAGCTTCCGTAATTTTCTTAATGATCTCAAAGTGTCTAAAATATTAGGTTAGTCACATCCGAAATACAACAAGGGGACAAATTTATGTTTACTGAAATGATCAGGTAATTAATTCTAGGACTATTTGTCTTATCCACTTAAGCAGAAAAAACCTGGCTTAATAAGATATGGACGTGTGTATGTATGTATGTGTGTGCGTGTGTATATATATATATACGGATTTAGAATGGAATAGAAGTTGCCTACAAAATTCTACCCATAACTCCCTCCCTCTCAAATTTTATCTTCTTTCACAAAATTACAGATATTAATCGGTGGTTTAATGGATTGAGCGTCAAGGTCAATGTTTGAGTCCCTTTTTTCTTAATTTATCAAAAAAAATACAAAATACAAAATTATTCCCGTAAAGTAGCTTAAGTGTTAGTGGAGTAAGTTTTCAAAAAATAAGAATATTTTGAGAATTAAATTATCGGATTGTTACAAAAAATTTAGGACAATCAAAAATAGAATTAGGGATAATTCTGGAACCGATAAAGTATATATTATAAGAGAGACAACAGAAATATAGCAAAAATCAGTAGAGGCACAATTAGTCCCTCAATATATGATGCATTCAAAAAAACAACACAAAAATTACAAGCAAAATTAAACATTTTAATTTCCCCTACCTGGTTTTGATGCGCCAAAATTTTATCAGACTTGAGTGCCATTGCTTCCTTCAATGAACACAAATATTGGAGCTTTAGGGGTACATATTGATCCTGCATTTTTCTGCTGATTTATGATCTCAGCTGGACATAAATACATAACTTTAAATCAGTAACATATTAAAAAAAAAAAAAAAAAAAACTAGAAGATTGAAGTTAAATTACTTGCATAACAATGCATGGAAAGGTCAGTGTTGATCAGTATTTTTCAAATGGGTAGGAAATAATCTGATTTTCTTTAATTTTCCACATTATCAACCTTTTAATTGAAAGCAATGGCAGAAAGAAAACAAATTAATATGGAATTGTGCGACAGAAAATGATTTAATCTTTCAAAAATGGAAATGAAATAAAAAGAACAAAGACAGAAGTAAAACACAGACAAATATAGAAAAGAAACAATTAAAGAAAACGAAGGTCTATAAATGGACTACTTACAAAATACAGATGAAGAATGGAAAAGATTGCTATGGAGGTAGAGAGAGAGAGAGAGAGAGAGGTGTGAAAGAGAAGATTTGAGGAGAGAGATTTTTATAGAGAAAAAAAGGAGCCTCAATCATTGTTATCATTGCTAATGTGAAGATGGTGAGATGGAGAATTTATGCTTAGGAGAAGAACACGCGTCTCACAATGCAATCAGATAATTAAGAAGGTACATATTTTGCTTCTTTAAGCCAGATATACATATATATTATTGATTTTTTCTGGATATACATATATATTATTGATTTTTTCTTTCCTTATTTGCTTACTTTTTTAGCCTCAGACGAAGAGAGAGATAGAGAGAGATAAGGGAGGCAGAGACTTGGAAGAATGAGAGCCAAATGAAATGGGTGTCAATGAAAATGGTGTTATCATGTCGAGGTAGACCAGGATGAATATACACCAGTTTTTTTATTAGTATGACTGTTTCATTTTCTTACTATTATTATATTTTTTTCTCTTTTTTGATATTTTAAAATAATGCACAACTGTTGAAAACACTTTTTCAATTTCAAACACTAATCATTCTTTTTAACGGAGTCTCTCTTCTAATATTTTTTTTCTCTCTTTTTTGATATTTCGAAACAATGTAGAACCGTTGAAAACACCTTTTCACTTTCAAACACTAATCATTCTTTTCAACGAAGTCTCTCTCTTGAACTTCACATGTCTTAATTATACAGTTCAACTTTAACTATGTTATTATCACCGGTAAGTCGGTTATCCATACTCAGTACTAATGTGATCCAATTACAAATGGGCATATAGTCTGCAATTACAAAATAAAAAAAGTGATAAATAAAAAAATAAGAAAGTATAACTGAATTTATTCCAAAAACAATAAATTATTATTCTTATTTATTTTTAGAATTTTCGTAACAATGTAACACACAATACAAGTCACCATAATTTTTTTTTTTTTTTTTGTCATTGACAAGAAACTCACACACTCATTTTGTTCCACCCGAACCCTCAACATCCACCTTCAAAAAACTAGAGAAGATACCACTAAATCACAAACCATCATAAATTATTTTAATTTATTACTCTCTATAAAATTTGACAAATATAGGGCACTTGAAATTATGGACCTAATTGTTAATCTCTTAATAGTTAATACCATCTGAGTCCGTGTCGGCACGAGTATACGCGGCAGTATCTGAGGTAACCCAGAGGTCACATGCTTAGTCTGAATTTCAAGTCAGCAAATAGAAGTGCCAAGGACGAGAATTTAAGGGCAGGCATGTGCATTGCTTACATGAAAAGGCCTCGTTAAAACAAAAACAAAACAAAAAGGGTTTGCAAGACACTAGAGTTATAAAAATGATCTATACCATATTTTGTATTGATTATACAAATTAAAAAGTTTTGTATTGATTATACAAAACAGTTACCAATTAAAAAGTTATAAAAATGATCTATACCATATTTTGAGGAATACTTGAAAGACACTAGAGTAGTGTATGGTGATTATTCTTATAAAACCTTCTTTTATCTATTTTTTCTATTGATATTTGAGACTATTTTCTATTGTGTTTGGGACAACTTTGAAGACACAACTAGTAAAACATTGCCTCACTCATTATCCACGCCGGTTCTTTAATTCTAACTTATTTTTTAACCAATTCAATTGTTTAACCAACGAGTGGTTTAGCAGTATCAGTCTCTTACAAACTAGGAAAAAAAAAAATTTAATTTATTTTATTATTCTCGTTTTTTTCTTATATTATTCTATCAAATAAGTTCTTATTGTTGTTGTAATAATAATGCTAATTTATTTCATTATTCTTATATTCCATAACATTTCTTTTCATTATTATATTAATGTTGTTGAAATTGATGTATTATTCAGTTTAATGAAAATGTTGTCATTGTTATTTTATTTATTGATGTATTGTTCATATTGTTGACTCATATATCAATAAATTATGTGTTATATTTTTATATGTTAATTTACGTGCTTATTCCCCAATAGTATGTTCACGCCCAGCATGCCTTCCCTGACTAGCCCCTCTTCTCGAGGCGTGCACTCTTACACAACGGGCACAAACTCTGAGTGTCGTCCTTGCACTCTAGTAAACTCCCGTCCAACCATAAAAACCATCACATTATGTTGGGCATATTTCTCGACTTAGTCCTCACTCCTCTGGCACCAGCTCGCCATATATAGGTCTTCTTCTCAAGCTTCGTGCTTTTATCGATTCCTTTGAATCCTTGTGCCTCCGTGCTTTCAACAACTCCTTCGTGTTCCACAAGTGATGTTGCTTTAAAGACTATATCTTAATTAGTTATTAATTGTAATGCATCCTAATCGCCCATTAAGAAGGACGATGATTGTATATAAGGTGAGATTTTTTATTTGTAACAATAAGCTTTAAGAATCTTGACTTTTATGGAGTCAATAGAGGAATGTTATGTTTTCTCAGCAAAAGGATGCCCAAAGGAAGCAGAGTCAGCTTGCATGCGAAAGAGAGATGCAATAGGAGTATCTCGTCAAACGGAAGGGGTTCAGAGACGATTTTATGTCATATGAATTAGGTGAAAATTTTTGTCACACCAGCTGATTTGACCGAATAGAGGTTGCACCATGTAGGTGACATACAAATATTGAGGGGGACCATGCATGATACAAGTAGAACTGATTTCTAAAAGTCTTCCACATATGTGTGGAATATTGCAAAGAAAGTTGAAATATTTTAGGATATTAAAGAGTTTGTGGAGATTTGTAAAGTTTGGAGATTTTAAAAAGATTTCTTAGTATAGAATATTTTGTTATGTACTCGAATATTAGAGTGTTATGTAAACTTTGTAAATATTTAAAATATTTATGTGAAAGAATTAAAAATTCTAAAGAATATATTTTAGCTATTAAATGTAGTTGCCTATATATAGGTAGAGATGCCTTTAGAGTTTAAGTTGGAGGGGGTAAGCCACCAAAATATTTTATAAATTATAATTTAAAACATTTATTTTCAATGAAATGTTAAAATTGTCTTGGTGTTATTAAAAATGGCGCGTGAATACTGAATGCCTAATGTAGAGTGTGTGGATATTACGATTCAGTCATGTGTACGGTATAAAACAAGCCACGTGTATTTATTATATAATTTTTTTAAAGGTCAAGTGTTATGTACTCCGAGGTTTCAGAACATCCGAAGTTTCTGAAGCAGTTATAACACCTGATTCTCTGGAAAAGTTATAAAATATCTGTTATATATCACGTATCGTATCGTCTTCTTCTATCTGTGGACTGATAGTGGCTCTTCTAAAATAATTGGTCCACATCACAATTATATTTCACGTGATCTACCGGAATATTAAATAATTAAAATATTGTAGGTATAATTTCAAAAACAATTATAACGCCTGATTCTCTGAAAAAGTTATAAAATATTTGTAATTTATCACGTGTCGTATCCTAGCTAGTATCTTCCTCTTGTATTTTTCAAGTGATAGTGATCTTTTAAAATAATCGTACCATGAAATATTAACCTAGTTATTTTTCATGTGTTCTATCTGAATATTGTGCCAAAAAAAATTACACGGTCCAACGGGTGCATTCAAATCATTAGTGTAATACACACGTAGCGCAACTAAGTTTTCATTTGTAATATAAACTCCGTCTTTTATATCCTTTTGGAGATCTTTTTTTGAGAAAAATTTCATTGCATTCGTTACGCGGTTTCATACTGTTAGTGTAATATACATGTCCACACGTCTATTCGATAATGAATGGTTAAATGCATTTATTGCATCGTGCAATGGACAAAACAACGTTTTTCTCTTTTTAGAGGATATGTAATTATTACATAACCCCTTGAACTATGTTATCAAGTTTAAATATGTATATATATAATCAAGTTTGCAATTTTTTAAAACTTTAAGATTATTTTATGAAAAGATTTAAAATTTGTTGTTTGAAATTTGTAAGTGGATAAGTATTTTGGAATAATCTAAAAAGAAAAAATGACAACTAAAGTAGGATGGAGGGGGTGACTGTTAGTAATTTAATAAGGGATTTTTTTTTAATTATGAAGTTACTAATCAAAATAAATTTCAAATTACTCCAATTGTTCAAAATAAAAAATAAAAAATTTGATTTAAAAATTATTTTTTACACGAATGCCTCCAAAGTCCAAACACTCCACAAAGCACACTAGTATCACAACCACAAATGATCCCAAATCATATATATATATATATATATATGTGTGTGTGTGTGTGTGTGTGTGTGTGGTTTAATATTTCTAAACCATTCATGCTCTTGTCAATCACTTCTTTTGGGCTTCTATCATGTTGTGAGCGGAACAAAAATCTTAGGTGGAGAACGTGGTTGGTTGATAAGGAATTTCCAAGAAGATAGAAGAAGTGGGCCAGAAGAAGTAGGCCCATAAAGGGTGGACTTAATGTCCATACAGCGAACTTAACCATAACAATAAGGTTCTCATTGTGAGTCATGTGACTGTAGCTTAAGTGGAACCCACTAAATTTCTTGGGGAAAAAAATTTTTATTCAACCACTAAAATGCATCGAAGGAAAAGTCTTATCCCATACTCTCTTTTTTGAAAAAAGTATCATCATTCTGATTTCAATTAAAATTGATTGAATGACAATCATCGATATAAATGCACGTACTACTAATTAAATAACGTTAAATATTACACGACACAAAGTCAGAACGTCAAAATGATAAAGGCAGACCAAGAAAAGTGAGCTCCAAAACAATGTTGTTTTTTTAAAAAAAAAAAATCTTTAATGGAGGTTTTGTTTATGATCGTAATTATTAAGGTCAGCTTGTCTATGTCAACTTTTCAATTTGTGTTGAAAATAAAGATTTAGTTTCAGCTACATGTTACATAGATGTAAATATAAGTCCATTGGATATTCAAAGCAGAAGCTTAATTTCCTTCTATTTTCTCCAAAAAGAAAATAAATAAAGAATACCAATGGGGTCAGTATATAATTAAATTCAAATAAACAAGGAAAAAGAAGATCAAATTTTAAAGAGATGATTATATTATTATTATTATTTATTATTGTTGTTGTTGATCTGGGATATGGGCCTATTAAAAAGTATTAAATGAATGGGCTGAGTCCCATGAGTAATCACCACCAATCAACACTAGAAAAATCTGTCCCTTGCCAAATTTTTCTTTTTCTATTTTGAGAGGCAGAAAATAAGTATATGTTATCTTGAATATGGCCCCAAATTATAAATAGAAACCATGTAAGGTGTGATCTCCTCTTGTTGCAATGGCAATATGGTTAGCCTTGGTACTTACATTTATCCTACAAATCACAGTATAAATATATATATATATATATATATATATATATATATATATAATATAAATCACATATGCACATACATATATATATCTATGTACATATGTGATTTATGTATATATATATATATATAATATATGTATATGTATATGTGTATGTGCATATGTGATTTACAGTGTACAGCCGAGATATAGTTGTACCAGTGATGACTCACTTTTTATAAATTCAATGTAAGAAAGTTAAAATAATATTATTATAAATGTTGTAATAAATTGATTTTTATTTTAAAATAATTAAAAATTAAAATATATATATATATATACACACGAGGAGTAAAATGTCATTTTCATCAAATTGATCAATTTAATAATTTTAAATTTAACTGAACCACTCAAATGACCGGTAGACTTTATAGTCTAAAATCATTAATTATACAAATTTGTTTGGAATTTTTATATATGGTTTTTTTTTTTTCTGTTTTTTTCTAGGATATATATATTTGTGGTGGTAGACCTTTTATGATTGTGAGTGGTGGAGTGGACTTTTCAGGTCATGTCGTTGGTGGTGGACAGTGATTTTATCAAGATATTATCTTGATCACGTCGGTCAATCATTAGGGGGCCCGAGCCCAAATATATATTGCACCTTTCCAATTTAATTAAATGTAACGTCCAGATTTGGACGCGTTGCCACTCCGGCCTACTTAAAAATCATGTGGCTTGTTGGACTTAAATGTTTTTTCCGAGGGTCAATCATTTTGGGGCCCAACCCATTCATTTATTTTTTTATTATTAATTTTTTTTTTTTTCGGAAGGTAATCCATTCATTTATTGATATGAATGATGGGGTATGTAGTTGCTAGTTGGTTTAATTAATTTAGATTAGAAAAAGTGATAATTAAGGACCCTTCAAGTTTTTGGAGAGACTGGTTAGTGTTATAAGGGGTATTTTTTCATGCGTTGAATTCGGATGGAAAGTGAAAGGGGTATAAATGGATATTTATGCGGTATTACTCAAAAACTTAACTTTTTGGATAAATAAGCAAACGCCTACTCGTTATAGTTAATATCAGAACCAAATTCAGTTCTTGATCCGGTGTTACATCAAACATCCGGCCCGAAAGACGTCCGGGTGAGCCACCCAGGTAGGTAGGGTGGCAGGCCCGACCACAAGTAAGGCATTGCAAGTCGATGTGGGGAAAAATGTTACAGGAGGTATTTTGTCCCACATCGAATTCGAATGGAAAGTAAAAAGGATATGAATGAATTGTTTGACAATCGTTTATGCTTTGTATTTTTTTACTCCTGTCATTGGAAGCAAAAATACCAAACGTGTTTGATAACGTTTGTTAAACTTTTCAAAATGATTACAAGTCGAGTTCGAGTTTGGGTCCAAAATTTCTTAACTTATAAGTGCGGCATTATTCCATTCTTATCAAAAGAAGGCATGTTAATGCTAATTAGTATGTCTATTCCGTATTAATTTTTTAGATGATAGAGCTTGAAGATAGAAACTCCTCTTGTCATATTGTGACCGTATTAGGCACTTTAACTTGTTTACCAGTTCATAGGGCACATGTAGGGGTAAGGATGGCAAATTCCCCATCCTCGCGGGAGCCCTGCCCCGCCCCACCACGTTTATAGCGGGGATGGGGATCCTTTTAGTTAAATAGGAATGAAGATGGGGGCAACTTACGAATCCCCGTCGGAGCCAGGGCAGGAGGCGGGGATGGGGTAAATCCGCCCCGCCCCGCCCCGATTAAGTGTGAAGTTACTAATATACCCTTATATATAATAATTTATTACTAAATTAGATTTATTTTATATATAAAAATAAGAAAAAATGTGTTTTTTTTAATAAAAAAAATTATGAGGCCGGGGCCAGAGGCGGGGCGGGGATGGGGATAAGGAGTCAGGGGAGGGTATGGGGAATGTAGCAAAATTTTAAGCGGGGATGGGGATGGGGAATGGAATCCCCGCCCCGTCCCGCGCCATTGCCATCCCTATGTAGGGTAAAGTTTTCCTTAATAAAAATATTTTTAAACCAAAACAATAAATGCAAAAATTATGTATAAATGGATCGATATTAGGAGAAAAGTTAAGCAGTCTTTTTGAATTTGGTGTTAATAATTGTTTCTTTTAGAATATTGTTGGGTCTTTTTTTTTTTTTGATAATTTGTAAGTTTTTAGTGCAGATATTTTTATAAATTATAATTACTCAGATTTGTACATACAAAATCAAATCGTTACATCTTTTCATTTATTTTTTATTAAAAAAAAAAAAAAAAAAAATTGAAAGTCAAAACGAGAGAGAAGTGAAAAACCAATGAAGGGGCTCCTCTGCCAATGCTAGTACTCTTCTCCGAGTTTGCCAAACACGTTGGGCATTACTGTACATTCGCTAAGAAAATATTTTAAAAAATTAAAGGGCAAAAATGTAATTTCATCATCACTAGATCTGATTTCAACTTCGCGCAAAACAAATGCATATGAGAGAAATCTCGGAGCAGAGAAGACGACGAAGACGATACGATGGCGCCAACACCAGCGATCCGCTGGTTCGCAGTCGTATCTGTTTTCATGATTTACCTCCTGATCCAACCGTCGATGTCCATATACTGCGATGAGGACGACTGTTACGATCTCCTAGGGTAAGCTTCCCTACGTTTCTCCCAATTCATTCCTTTGATGAGCTTATTATCATCTATACTCATTCAATCTTCAATCATTTTGTTCTAGGGTTTCACAGAGTGCCAATGCTTCCGAAATCAAGAAATCATACTATAAACTCTCATTAAAATAGTAAGTTTTCGCTATATTTGTGTATTTATATATGCTTGTTGATATAGGTAATGTTGTTATCTCAATTTATTTATTTTTTCGATTGGTTGTATTTCATCTTTGTTGTAATTTAAGTCTCATTTAAATAGTAAGTTTTCGCTATGTATATATGTGTATATGTGTGCTTGTTTATATTGTAATGCTATTGTAATGCTATTGTTTATATTGTAATGCTATTGCCTCAATTTATTTTTCATTTTGATTGCTTATATTTTATCTTTGTTATATTTTGGTTAGTCACCCGGATAAAAACCCCGATCCAGAATCGCGGAAGTTGTTTGTGAAAGTTGCAAATGCTTATGAGGTATTACTACTTCTTAATTGAATTAGTTCAGCAGCTTCTGTGATTTGAATTTTCCAGATCAAAATTGATTCTTTTTCTTTCTCTTTAGCATCGTTCGTTGAATCTATAACAATTTCAAGTGGGTTGTGCACTAATTGTTTATACACACACACACAATGAGAGCCTTTTGCTCTCTACATATTATTTTTATTTTTATTGACTTAATTATGCAATTTCAAACTCAACCTTGGTGATGCTTATTATCTTATTCATACACAGCTGGCCCGAAGCTCATAAAATAAGAGTGTTGTTTTAAGTTGCTTAAATTGATGCCTTGCAGATTTTGAAAGATGAAGCTACAAGGGAGCAGTATGATTATGCAATTGCGCATCCAGAGGAGGTTAGTTAGTTTGAGTTTTCACTTGTGGCATTTGTAACGTTTTTCAGATGTCACATATGTGCTTGTTAACCGTTTATGTTCAGCTTCTTATAGTGAACCTACCCTCTATCATTTTTTTTAGTCTTTCTAAGATGGCTTCAAATTTAATTCACTGAAAGATTCTAAAGAAATTTCTAGGACCACTTACCGGATATAATCAGAAGAGTTGCCTGAGAAATAACTGTGGTTGTTGAAACTGTTTAAACTGGACGCCTTGATCATTGCTTTTTAGTTATTGGTTACTAGCTAAAGTTTGTTCCTGAATTGGGCTTGAAATTCTTTTAGCAAGCAATTATCCATGAGAATACTAAACTAATGAAAAAAACGATTATAAGATTCAAAAATTTGTAAAAAGTTTTAATTTATAGTCGTATTCATTAAAGCTCTAGCACTCCATCAGCTTCTGATTTTGTCCATATGTGGTTTAGATTTTAGAATACTATAGACAGTCTATCATATTAAAATCACCCTGTTCGAATCTGATACAACCCAAAGGGTGTGAACTATCCTATCACTTGTATTGGGGGTAAAAGAAGTGTGTGTATTCAACTGGGTATGTACTAAGGATAGTGTTGCTGTGTCCTTTGTTTAATGGAGTTCTTCTTGGTTTGATTTTTCTCTACAATTTTTAGATTTCCATGTGTATGACTTTAGCTCCTATATGAAGGGACTACTATATATTTTTTTTTACAAGGAATACACTCATAAACCTTACTAACACTAATTAGTACCTCTGGTCTTAGCAGTGCATTATAACAAATGAAAGATGAAAGGATAGAGTTACTTGGGAAAAAAGAGATTTAAAGGATAGAGATCCTTGGGGAAAAAGAAAGTAAAAGGATAGAGATCAAGACCTAAAAGCTTATAATGATAGTTGTTACCATAGCATGAAACTTCGACAGTATCCTGCATCAAAATCCATGAGTTGGGAAATACTTGTCCTTGAGTTCTGTTTTCCAAGAGTTACTAGATGTCCAAACAGTCCTTTCCATTCTTTTTTCTTCGTTGTTCCAAATGAATCAACATATATCATAATAGCCATAATCTTCTTAACAAAAATCTTGTTTTAATATGTCTTCGGGCATTGTTCCTCTCAATGTTGCCGCACAAATAAACTACTTTAGAACTTAGATCACATCATCATGTGTATTAGAAAGTAATTCAGGACTTATCCATGTATGGTTGTTATTATTATTATTTGATTCAGATCCATGTGTGATTGTTATTATTATTATTTTTTATTCAGATCCATATGTGATTGTTATATCTTTGAGTTAATCGACTTTCCATGAAATCTTCCCAGATATGATCAAACCTCATCTCCATTGTTAAGCAAGTAAAAAACTTCACAGTCCAAAGGTCACCACCCATATGGAATTTAGAATTATCGAATTATTCGATATACATCACGGGATCATCAATAATGGTTAATTTGACTCTCTTGATCATCAAACACTACACAAGCCACCCAATCTTCAGTAACTTTATTCTTAAGTTGGGAAAGATCATAACTCACCGACATCACTGTTATTTTGTTATTCATCATTAATTGGTGTTGAATTCTAGTCAAAATTACTTTTATTATGCATCTTATTATGTTGTGTTTGGAAGCATGGAATCAGCGCCTTGGAATTGGATATATTCTCCAATTCCGATTTGATACTCCCAAACATAGCTTTAGAAAAATTAAGGACTTCTGCATTAATTCCTCCATTTTGCCCTGAATTAGCATCATTCTTAGTGTGACGTCCCACATCGTCTGGGGGAGAATTTTCTTGCATTTATATGTGTGGACACCCCTTAACCATGTAGACACATTTTGAGGAATACCGTGAGCACCGGGAAGAGAGTGTGCAAAGCGGACACTATCTAAATGGGTGGGCAGGTCGTGACAACTAGCATTAGAAAAATAATAATTCCCTTATCGTTTGAGTTCTTCTTCTTATCCGAGATTATCTTCAGCAGAAACAATAAATAGCCAAAGGAAAATTTCATTAACAATAAAGTTGTTATGTATTCTAATGGTAAGGCATATGAACTAAAGGTAACTAGTATTAAAGGATGACCATCAAACAGTTTTGGTGTAAGCTATACATTATATGTTAAATAAAAATAAATAAATAGAGATATAAAAGGCAATAATTATAACTGTTACAGTAGCATGAACTTTGGCATGTTATAACACTCGTAGATAGTACTGCTATAGCAATTTAGATTGATGCTCCTGCAACAGTATTTTAGTTTCGCATTGCATTCTCTGAAATATTTTGGTTTTAAAATTTTATCTGATTGGAAGACCTTGTCACTACCTAGTCTACCTACTTTAATCTAAATATTGGTTTGTGCCATTTGTTTAGTGTGCTAAAAGTGTTATTTTTCCCCTGTATTAGGTATTTTACAATACAGCTCGCTACTACCAGGCATACTATGGTCACAAAACAGTAAGCACTTTTTCCATTTTGATATTTGTTACTCCTTATTGCAAATATTTTCTGATAGTAGACAAATAAAATTTTGTGCTTCAGTGATATTTTGTTGGTTTTATGTAATAATTCATATTTTCACTTGCTAGGATCCTCGTGCTGTCTTAGTGGGTCTTCTTTTGGTTCTTTCAGCATTTCAGTATCTAAATCAGTGGACAAGGTATAATCAGGTAACAGGATATGTCCATTGTCAGGCATTATTTCACAAAATATAATATCTGCATGCAATAATCTTTAATGGGGAGGCTCAATTTTGGTGCGCTACTTTGAATAATTTAGTCCTTGTAATCATAAAATTAATTCCTCGATGTTGCTTGCACATATTCTATAAAAATTTGCTGTTTGTGTTGTATATTGAAAATATAATTTCTTTAATCAGCAAGTACATGTGCATGACCTCTTTGTCTTCATTATAAATATGTTTATCAGAACCCGAGCAAGCTGCCATTTTGGCATAAAAAATATGGACATATTGTGTGTTTCACATTCATCCTTATCACTAATCTCAATAATATATATATATATATATATATATATATATATATATATATTTTCATTGGCAAGAAACACACACACCCCCCACTCACACTCCCATATTGTCCCTTTGGGGACTCGAACCTTTACCATCCACCTTGGGAGGCAGAAGAGATATCACTAGCCCACAAGGCCCTTGGTAATCTCAATAATATTTATTAAAGAATTACATTTTTTTTTCAAGTTCATTATGAGTTACCCACCATAGGGTTTGGTGAAATCTGTTTGAAATTGGAATTATGCTTGAAATTTGTTTTTACATGTGAACACTGACAAGTAGCAACCTGCCTATTCAGAGAAATGTATGGACTTTGGATGGTAGGGAAAGTTATAGTTCTCCTTTTTCCTATTAAATATATTTAGTTTGTGTTTATCCTTGCTGCAGGCTGTAGACATGGTCAAGAAGACACCAGCTTACAAAAATAGACTACGGGCTTTGGAACTTGAACGTAGTGGGGGGTTGACAAACAAGAAGAAGAGTCACAAGCAGATAGATACGTATGACTCTTCTTCTTTCTTCTTCTTCTTCCTTTTTTATTTTATTTTATTTTTATTTATTTATTTATTTTTAAACGATGTTTTAATAATAATCTTATTACCTGATTGATTTTTCTTTTGGATTTGTATGTTTGTCAAATCTTTTAGAACTTGGATAATCCTTTCTATGGTTCTTAGTTTTATTTAATTTGAGGTGAACCATGTTCTCGTGACAGAAAGATGAAGGAAGAGATCAGCAATGAACTTGAACTGCAGATAAAGGGTGCTGAAAAACCATCTCTGTGGGAACTTATGGGTGTCCGTTTCATACTCCTACCTTACACCATTACAAAGGTTAGAATTCACTTTTTTGCATTCAGAATCAAAGGAACTTTTGGTACAAACCATTTGAAAAGATGATGGCACTTCTATTAGATTGTTTGGCCTACTTTTGTGTTGTTCGTGTCTGGTAGGCAAGCTAAACTTAGCTTATGCATTACATGATTACTGATCAATTTCCTGTCCCTTCAGCTACTGTTGTGGTATGGATGTTGGCTTTGGAGGTACCAGGTGAAACAAGCTCCTTATTCTTGGGAAGATGCCTCGTTCTTAACACGAAGAGCCCTAGGGGCGCCTATGGATTCATGGAGTTATATTGGTAATTTTAAATGAATCCTCACATGATTTGTTTGAAGATACTATTATATTATTGTTGTAACCACATGGTTTGTTGATTGTTTTCATCTCATGCTTGAGGGTGCTTACTATTTAAATTATGGGTCAGTTTAACAACTCATATACACTGAGCTACAACAACCCTCTTAATATCCATGAGATTTATCCGTTAAATGGTCTATTTAGATGGATTTATTTGACATAGTGTGTCATTTTTCATTTGTGTCTGGACCACTTGCCATAGGTTGGCCATTCAAAAAAGTAAATAAATAAAAAGAAAAATAGTGAGACCAGGTTATAAAGATAGGTGGAGTTTATATAAGAATTGAGTCATGGGTCCAACCCCACTTCCATGTACCCCATTTATACTGATTGATATGATTTAGACTCTCGTGTACTTCAGTGTTTTACTAAACAAATATTTGGTGTGTGTTTATTAGATGAATCAACCAAGGAAGATCTTATTCAAAGACGTTTATGGGAGAAATCCAACATGGGGAACTACCTTGTGGAGATGCGGAAAGAATCAAAGCGCAGAAGGTAGTAGATTCGACCTAGAGAGCTACTCAATGGGGGGTTTGCAGAAAGAATCGAAGTGCAGAAGATGGCAGATTTTGTTGCCCTGGTATCTCTTTCGCTTTGATATATATTATTTTTTATAGCAGTCATCTAATTTGTAAATGTGAAGCAAACTTGTACTTCTATAGCTTAAGCGTTGCCAGTCCGAATTAGTTGAATCACTAACAGAGTTGTAGAAATTAATATTATCCAATTGTTGAGGGAACCCTAATTTGAAAGGTTTTGTGGATGTCGTATGATTGGCGTCATAAATGTAATTTGATACATTTTATACCAAAAACCACTACTTAAGGAATGCTGGTATCTATTATACAAGAAGACTCTGGGAGAAGCATGCCATGATCGAGGTAACTCGTCTTGAGATCTTATCAACTCATTTTATTTACTTTTAGGTTACAAAATATGTTCCCTTGATTAAGAAAATGATCGTGTCAATTAGGGTCCTTTGATGCCTTCACTGAGGAACTTTTAGTTATGTTTGGAAAATGTGACCATGACTGGCTATGCCCTCTGCTAATATTCTTCATTATCTGTCCCCTTTCAATCTGCAAATTTCACTTTTAGGTTAGGTCTTATCTATATAATGGATTATTATGTCTCCTTTACTTTCACTAGTTAGTGTATCAAATTGCCCACCGAAACAAAGTTTTCAAGAATGTTCTGTGAAGTGAACGAAAGAAAAAAAATACTTTTTCAACGTGCATTTGATTAGCATATATATATATTTTTTAGTAAAATTTCATAATTTTGTATAGGGTTTGACATTGTTTTTATGTTAATATATATATATATATATTAGAGATTAATCTTATTTTAAGACATTTCTGTTAGTCAATAAAAAGTCCACCAAACAACGATATAATTAAGAGTGCCGTTACGTTGTTATGACATTCTTAGCCAGTCACGTCTTTCTTTTAGGTGGTAACGATTAAAAACCTTATTGAGTTGGTATTTTATTCATTCTAAACTTTCTCCTGTATTTGTGTGTTTCATTTTCTCAATACAATGAAATTCCTTACAATATGTGAGTGAACCACATAAAATTTGTGCTTTCCTGTTCGTGTGTTTGATCTATATCATCTAAAATTTTGCAACGAAATGTGAGTGTTATAAGATATAATAGGAGTCATTCAATCAGGTCGTGCTCGCCCATGGGCGGGTCCTAACCCAATGTCCAACAACTAAAAAACTCCATTTTCGGACAAGTATTCATGATTTTTTCTACTATATAATGGATTATTGTGTCTCCTTTACTTTCACTGGTTAGTGTATCAAATTGCCCGCCAAACAAAGTTTGTGAAGTAAAAAAAAAATAATAATAATTCAATCACTAACACTGGAATAGAAGTAAAATGATTGGAACGAGAGCATTCTCTCTTTATTATTATTATTATTATTATTATTATTATTATTATTTCTCTCTTTTTTCCAAAAAAAGTCCAGCAAAGTATATGTGTGTCTGTATAGATAATTACAGAGGGGCTACAGAGAGCGGGCTAGGCTATGGGACAAGCCCAAGCCAAACAAGCCATGGGACAAAAAAACTCGTCAGTCCTGTACATACAAAAATAAAGAGTATGTATATAGGTGGGCTTGCCAACAAGGAAGCCCAAATGAAGGTAGTTGTGGAAGATTGTCCAACAAATCAATTGGACAAAAACAAAAGCCCGTTTATTGTATTCGCGCCTTTGTTTCTCGCCTTCAATGGCTATCTGAACGTATTAGATACAAGAAAAAGAAGTTCAACAACACTCAACTGTAATTTTAATTGTTTTTAATAAAATAAAGACAAATTTGGTACTAACAAAATTTCATTAAAAAATGCTAGTCTTGTTTCCGTTTCCTCCCATTTTTGAGAGGATAACAAAACCTATGCATCATTCTTCAATAATGTATCCCTCCAAATCTTTTCATTCCCTCTCTTTTCCTTCTAACATTTTGTACCAAACATAATATCCTATCTCCTTCCATTATCTTATTTTCTTTTTCTTACATTTCTCATCAACCTAACTAGCCCTTTAAGAGAGACAAATTTGAAGTATTTTTTAGATGAAGGTGGAAATATCTTTCTACAAAAAAATTTAGTGGACAAAAATGCCTTCACAAATATTTCATTGGCGGAAAAGAATCCTCTCCAGGAAAGGAGAGGTCCTGCACACCTA